CTCTCGATCGGTCTCTCCGGTGCCAGAGGATGCAGACGCGTCTCGCCCGCTGGCCGGCGGGGCGGGGCCCCGAGGTGGTTTCAAGATGTACACGCCAGCCGTTCGTGGAGGGAGTGGGCCGAACAGGTCCGGGGCGGGATCAAAGGTGAGCCAAAACGCTAGAGAGATCCACCAAGTGGTGTTGCGAGAGGGGAGACTATAGCTTAGGGGAAAGACCCCAGTCCGGCGGGTGTCCCCGGGCCCGCAATGCCTAATGCGCAAAGCAAACTGTGAGGCTTGATCCTTACATGCCCAAATTTCAAAAAAAAAGCTACACCGAGTGCGAGTCTGAGCTCTGACCCCCAGCCCCCACCAGACCCACTCCCCAAAAACCCGCGGCACACTTCTAAACAACAAACACTTCTAACAACAAACACTTCTAAACAACAAAAAGACACGCTTCTTCTAAACAACAAACAGCTCTCTTCGCGCGGTCATTCGACAGTAATCTATTCGACATGGTAATCTACAGTGGTGAGCAGCTGAGCACAAGCAGGGCTGCTACATGTGCGACAGGCGCTGCCTCTAATCCTCAGGCGCCAAAGAGGAGAGCGCCCCGCGCCACCTTTGCCTTCGCAGGCGCCTCGGCGTCCACGGCGTCGCAGATTGCCGTCGCAAGGGCCTCGTACTGGGTGTAAAAGTCGTCGCGGCCTTGGGAGCAGCGGCCACTGTAGCCCGTGGTCGCACCGCCCGCCGTGACGCAACCGCACCAAGTGAGGGGGGGGTCGACCGCCGATGCCTGTGGACGCACGGGCGCGGCACGGGGTGTGATGCTGATGTGATGGGCCGCTTGATCGTTGTGGAGATGCGGGTGCGGCGTCGGGCGGGATGGACTAGCGTCGCACCTGGATGGTCGAGATGGGGAATGCTCCCGGCGGCTGGTTGGGGTTGCTCGGGCACACGCCGCCCTCCTCGTTGGGGCAGTTGCCCGCGGGGTACGGGGCGACTCCGCACCAGCGCGCCTCGGAGTTGGGCGGGGGCTGAACGGTGACGACACCCGACATGCAGCACGACTCGACATACCCGACCGCCTCGGAGATGCGGACGTCGAGATCTTCAGCCTTCACCACCGCCGTCAGCGTTTGCCACGGACCCAGCGTGTCCTGCCCGTCGTACGGCGACTGGTCAAGGTCGAAGACGTCGGTGCGCACGAGGAACTCCTCGAGCGAGAGCGGCGGCCCGCCCCCGGGCCCTGCCCAGCAGCTCTGGCAGTTCATCCCGTCGGGTCCACAACAGAAGTCAGTGATGTACATGGTCGGACTGGCCGGCATGATGCCCTCACCAAGGGCGACGGACATGGCGTTGACGCAGTCGGCCGCGAAGCGTCCGCCGGCAAACTCCTTCCACTTTTTGGCGACGTAGCACGGCGCGCAAGACTTTGACCCCTGCGCGTTGGTGACGCACTCGGGACACGAGACCAGAGCCGACGGCGTGCTGGTGAGGGTGTCCAGGCTCGAGGCGTCTGGGAACATGTTCTGGAACATGTCGACCGACGCGCACGTGCAGCGGTCAGAGTACGCCCCGCCAGCCGCGCAAGCCTCGTAGTTGGCATTTGCGCAGAAGATGTCGTAGCCCCACTCCGGGGCCGAGTAGGCAGGAGTCGGCACGCACTGCGAGCAATCGCACTCGCCGCAAGACTGGCCGCCGCCGCCCGGGGAGCGTGGCGGAGGTGGCGTGGGGGACGCCGAAGGTGGCGGCGAGGGCAAGGGCGAGACGTCAGGCGACGGTGATGGCGACGGGGAGGGCGACACGTCTGGTGAGGGCGAGGGCGACGGTGCAGACGGCGAAGGCTGCGGCGAAGGCGACGGTGATGGCGACGGCGTGTCGCTTGCCTCGATCACTCGGAAGTCCGCGCAGTTCTTGAAGGTCTCGGGGTAACCGTCGACGGTGTTGCCGGTCATGTACAGCCACTGCACCGTGCACGTCTTGGTCTCACAATCCACGGTGGAGGGGATCTTGAGGCGCACAGTGTACACGCCATTCATCTCAATCGGACCGTTCATGCTATGGACGACGGTGCCGGGCCCCTCAACGGGAATGGAGGCGTTAATCGCGGGGAGAACCCAGCGGTCAGTGTTGCTCGCAGGGTCCGAGCAGGTCCCGCCATCATTGCAGCAAGCACCCGCCGGGGCCAACACCTCCGGGTACTTCGTCCAGATCAGATTGCCATTCTTGCCCTGTGTTGGCCCGTCGCAACGCGTGTGCGGCGAGAGTGCCGTGTAGTCGGTCGGGTCCGTCGGCAGCCGCGCGCCATCCCCTGGGGGTTTAGACATCTTGCCGGCGTAGGTTTCCGTGGCGTGGACGGGGTCAATCTCGAGAACATGTTCGTTGAAGCACTCTTGCGTCACCGCCCCTCCATCAGACTCACAGAGGCGGAATTCGGACCACCCATGGTGGTAGGCCGTGATTTGCATCTTCAAGTCGATCATGTTTCCACCACCGACCTTGGGCATGTTGGTAATCTCCCAATGCTCGCCGTTGTCTTCGTTCACGCTGGTGGACCACCAGTTTTGGAACTTGTCACTAAGCCACGCCTCGCCGCAAACGCCGACGCGGGGAAGCGGGTTGATTGGTTCCGTCATAATTCCCAGCTTGATTGGCTGTGTCGCCTCAGTGATCTCTCTCACGCACTCCTTGCAATCCTCGCTGTCGAGCTCCCCCCAACTCGCACACTCCGTGAAGCACACGAACGCAGAGCCGCCTTGGCAGCCGTTGTTGTTCATGTGGTTGCTCAGGGATTTGCCGCAATCACCTCTGCCGGGGTTCGTGACCCCGTACTCGCCGTTGCGCCGATTCGGAGAAGTGAGGAAGCCGTGGGCTTGGACAGTGCCGGCGGATGCCAGCAAAAGGGCGATGGAAAGCTTGGCGTACGACATGTCTGCGGAACGAAGCGAGCGGCGTGAGGAGTGGTGCTATGGTGGCGTGGCGACACCTAGGTGCTGTAGCGCCGTGGGCGGCCGGCGTGCTGTGTCCGCTGCGTGAGGCGCGTGGCACGGGCCTGGGCCGCGCAAACTCAAGAGGCGTGGCGGGACGAGCCTCTCTCAGTATGTCTCACAATTTGGTGGGTGTCCTCCTCGGCTTCGGTGGTCGAAGTGGATATCCTTGGCCGCGGCCCTTGTGCCCTTCCCCAAAATCTCAGAAAGAAAGAGAAAGCGGATAGCAAACAAGAACACAACGCAGTCTCTCACATGACAAGCGATCCCACGTCAGCGATTGTGGGGACTACATGATTACATGAATGAAGGGTGCGGGGGGGGCGTCCGCAGAGCTAGGCGGCGCGGGCGCCCCCCACTGGGGCCGAGCGTAAGAAGCCGTTTGCCACTTGCTTGTTCTTGACCCAATTGGCGCGCGCTGGGGAGTTGAGCCAGTCTTTACGCTCATTGCGCGCCTGCTTGTTGATGTTGTCGGCGTCGCCCGCCACCGCCGCCATGGAGATCTGCTGCGTGTGGTGGACGACGAAGGAGGAGGTTGTTGCGTCTCCGCTTTCTCTTCCGCGCTTTGCCTGTTGTGTGAATAATGCGTGTGCCGAGAGAGTTCCGTTGTAAAATTCTCTTTCGCGGTGTACCTGTGTTAGTGCCAGTGCGCGCCAGTCCCGTGCCCAGTGTAAAGAAAGAAAGAAAGAAAACACACACGCCAAACGAGGGATGGGACGAGGACAGGGTCCCCACCTGCACGAGCATAAATAAATAAATAAATAAATACAACGGACATCCCAAGCTAGGGCTGGGTCGAGGACAGACACGTCCCCACCTTACCAGGATTTTGCAAAAGCGAGGGGGGAGGGCGCATCGCCGCGCGGAGAGGGCTGGGCACAGGGCACAGGGGATCTCTCTCGCATAGGATATGCACTCGGCGGCACGAGGGCAGGGCTGGGCGTCCTATTTGTGCTCCCCCCCGGACCCCTCGCTCTCGGGCACTAACCATCTGACCACTCATCGACGGGGCTTGGCGAGCGGCCGCGCTGCACGAGCAGTGTTGTCGACGGAGTTTTTGTAAATTTCTCTTTCGCTGGCCTCGCCCGGCTCACCACTCAGCCTCGAGCCCTCCCTCCCTCGCAAGCAACAGCCAGAAATGATCCAGGAGATGGACCCCCCGTCGCCGTTTCGGCTGGAGTCCTTCGGAAACATGAGCCGCCAAGTCGAGCATGCGATCCAAGAGCAGCAGCAGCGCATGCAGCACGCCCACCGCCGCGTCGACGACGCAGGCGGGCGCATCCGGCAGCTCGAGAACGGCGCGTGCACGCGTGGGCCGGCGCCGCGCATCTGACGCCACTGCACTGACCGCCAGAGGCCCCTCCGCCGCAGAAAGGAGGGAGATCGAGGCCCAGATCTCGCACTTCCACGCCGCTGACAAACGGTCGGAGAAGGAGCAGCAGCTGGTGCTCGAGGCCCTGAAAGAGCAGACCCAGGAGGCGGCTGCGAAAACCGCGGAGCTCGAGGCTGAGTGCAAGGGATTCGAGGAACGCGTGGAGCAGGACCGGCTGGCGTACGTGAAACAGCTCTACGGCAATGCTCTCTCGTTTGACAAGAAAAGGCGCGCCCTGTTTGATGAGACGGACTCGGAGCACACAGGCCTGCAGCTCGAATTGGTGAAGAAGCTCGAGAATGTCAATCGCCTGACCGGCGAGGTCCTCCGACTCGTCAACCGCGGCGAGACGCAGAACCTGAGCGCGCCGGATGCGCCGTACTGCAAGTGGACGGCGCTCGATGAGATTGCGCAAGAGTGGACGACGCTGCGTCAGATGGAGTGAAGACACCCTACCAGAGATCAGCGCTGGGGCCGAGGGCGCCCACCGGTCCAAAATTGGACACATGTATCGACTCGCGAGCGCGTACGGCGGAACGCCGCGGGGCGCGTCGCGCGAGCCGAGCGACGGGTCACGGGACCGGCACTGTGCCGGTGACTGAGAGGCGCGCAAGCAACGCCGAGCCGAGCCGTTGAACTGCCCTCGCCTGTGTTTTGGCCTTTTGGAGTTTGACGGCACACGGGTCTTGGCGTCACCACAACACCAGGACAGAGATCGAACAGAAAATCTGTCTTTCTGCTCGCGGCCGCGGGCGGTGCGTGCAGTGTGATGCGCGGGGGGCGCGCGGTTTTCTTTGCACAGTACGATTTACGAAGCCGTAAAAGCGACCTGAAATTGATTAAGTCTCGAACGATCTTCTACGTGTTATTATACGGTATGAAGGGCTACGTATCACTGACGTACCGCCAGCACCACGACGCACGAGTCAGAGGATCTCTCTCACTCTGGATTCCGACACAATGGAGGGCGGTCGAGTGCACGGAGCTAAGTGCCTCGCCGTCCTCGCAGGAGTCGCTTATAGTGTAAAACTCCCTCTGACACTAGGCACGGGACTGGCGCGCACTGCACTGGCACGAACACAGGTACACCACACGGGAGCCGCCTAAGCGACTCCTGCGAGCAGAGAGCGTACTCGTAAAAGTCTTTTATAGATAAATAATTAGAGCAGGCATCTCCAGGAGAGATGGGCGACGCACGAACACAGAGAGAGGCACAGCGCGCACCCCGCCCCGCTCGCAGCGTCGCAGGGCGTGCGTGCATCACACAGGGACTGTGTGAGTCCTCGGGTTGGGAATCTTGAGGTGTGCTAGTCGCTATAGTCGGACGGTCTTTTGTGCGAGGGAGTAAGAAAGAAAGAAGACAGACAGACCCAAACGTGGAGCCCACTTTTTTTCTTCTTGTGGGGCTGGGCCTTCTGGTGTTGCAGCCGGTGTTGCAGCCGCGCAATGTCCCGCTCGCCGCCGCGGAGACTCGAGTCGCTCACGGCACCGCTCATGCCCGACGGCGCTTCCCTGTCGCTGCCGCTGCACAGCAGCAACCAGCAGCACCCGCACCAGCAGCACGCCACCATCGAGGTGCACCGACCGGCCGAGGACACGGCGTCGATCCGGTCGGGCGTGTCTCGGTCGGTGCTCTCTCGCTACTCCAAGGCGAGCCTCACCACCTTCCGGAGAGGCGAGCTGCGCGACGCCCTCTCGCGCCGGGTGCACATGGTGTCGCTCGTCGTCAACGTGCTGCTGTTTGGCTCCAAGCTGTGGGTGTACCTCTCGTCGGGCGCGATGGTCGTCCTCGCGGCGCTGGTCGACTCGACTGTCGACCTGCTCGCGCAGGCCATCCTGCTCGTCACCAACCGTCTGGCGACCGACCAGCAAGGCGCCACCAAGGTCCTCTACCCGGCCGGCCGCTCGCGCGCAGAGCCGGTCGGCGTCATCGCGTGCGCGCTGCTGATGGCGATGGCGAGCGCGCAGGTGATCCGCGACGCGCTGGTGTCGCTGTACGGCTACTGGCAGCACGGCGACGTGCGCCCGGTCGACATGACCTACTACGACCTCGGGCTGCTCGCGAGCACGATCGCGCTCAAGTTTGTGCTCTACCTCTGGTGCCGCTCAAAGTTTGCAGAGACCAACAACGTGACGGTGGAGGCGGTGGCGCAGGACCACCTGAACGACGTCCTCTCCAACCTGGGCGCCCTCGCCGCCGCGGTGCTCACGCAGCTCTCCCCCTCCCTCTGGCTCGCCGACCCCGTCGGCGCCGTCGCCATCTCTGTGTACATTATCCACTCGTGGCTCTGCACCGGCATGGAGCAACTCGAGTTCCTCGTCGGCCGCTCCGCCGACCCGGAGTTCCTCGACCAGGTGCGCGAGATGGCCGAGACGCACGACCCCGCCGCCAGCCTCGACCTCGTGCGCGCGTACCACTTTGGGCCGCGCTTCCTCGTCGAGATTGAGATCGTGATGCTGCCCGAGACGCCGCTGCGCGTGTCGCACGACGTGGGAATCATGCTCCAGCACAAGATCGAGCGGCTGGAGCAGGTGGACCGCTGCTTTGTGCACGTCGACTACCAGGTGCGCGAGATCGACGACCACGACCCGAACACCCCCCTCAGCTACAAGACCGTCGAGGCCGCCACCCTCCCGCCGCGCCCCTTCCTCGAGACCGCCTCGCCGCTGACGGCGCCGCCGGAGCACCCTTCCGGCACCAGCCTCCGCGCGCCGCCGCCCGTCAGCTGACCGCGGGGTGTGCGCCGGGGCCGCCTCGCTCCGGGTGGCGAGCCAGCGGTCGGGAGCACGGCCGCGTGCCGCAGACGGCACGCAAACGGGCGACTGCCGACGTCCCTCCTCCGGAGTGCGAGGCGGGCGGATCTGCCCTCCTCATATTCGAATCGTGCCGTATCGTGGGTGCGGTACTTTTGGAGTTCACGTATTGACAACAAAACACTCCAGGCAAGGCCAAGCGCCGGTGCCGCGTGTGTGCGGTGAGAGGCTGAGAGCGAGGTGGCCAGAGTGACGAGAGCGCAGCACCCAGCCCGTCTACACATATCATTGCCGAATCATGCGTTGCCGTTGGTAAGCAGACTCAACGGCTGCGAAAGCCTGCGCCGCCTGCACCTGATCCGTCTTGTCAGGATGAAGGCGCAACACGAGCTGCTTGTATCTCTTGCGAACCTCATCAGGCGGCGCGTGCGGGGCAAGAAACAAGCACTTCCACGGGCACTCCGCCTGCGCGAGCACATGTCTCACGAGCTCGTCAGTGGAGAGGTCGTCGACGGATTTGTATGCGTCGTCAAAGCTGCCATACGCGCTTGGCGCACCGGTCGCCACTTGCCGCGCAGCCTGCCGCAGCCGCGCCTCGCGCAAGAGAGCTTGCTGTCGGAGGCCGGCCTCCTTGAGCTGCGCCTGCTGCTGCTCCTTCAGGCGGGACTGCCACAACTCTGCCTCCTCTCGGGCTGCCCTCTTGGCAGCCTCCCGCTCCTGCGCTGCGGCTTCGGCTGCTCTGGCAGCGGCCGCTTGCACGCTCGCTTGCGAGGGCGCTTGCGAGGCCTTCGCCCGCGCCTTCTGCTGCTGCCATGCTGCGAGTTCCCTCCACCTGACGGCGAGCGCTGCCTCTGCCTCAAGCTCCGCGTCGCGTTCGCGGGCGCGTTTCTGCGCCACCTCCTCTGCTTTGGCTGCCTCCTTCTGTGCACGTTCCTCCTCTCGCGCTTTGTTCCGTGCTGCCTCCTTGTGGGCGCGCTCCTCCTCTCGCGCTTTGTTCCGTGCTGCCTCCTTGTGGGCGCGCTCCTCCTCTCGCGCTTTGTTCCGTGCTGCCTCCTTGTGGGCGCGCTCCTCCTCTCGCGCTTTGTTCCGCGCCGCCTCCTTGTGGGCGCGCTCCTCCTCGCGCGCTGCCTCCCGTTGTGCACGCTGCTCCTTGCGTGCTTCTTCCCGCGCCACGTTCGGGCCAGATCTCAGCTGCTGTGGACGTCGATAATTCGTGGACGCTGGGTTGAACTCGTGTGGATAAAGGAGAGCGTTCGCATCGAGCACCGATCCGCAGGAGCTACATATCGCCATCCCTTCCTCCTCGACAAGGTCCGAGGAGCCGCAGTCTGGGCACGCCATCTTGGTGTCGCACACAAAAGAGCAAAGAGTGCACGCGTCGCCGGCACGAATTTTATGGCCCGCCACTCGAACCCGCAAGCGGGCGTACGAGCCGCGAGCGGCTCGCACTCGAGAGAGACTCGTGACACGCACTCGTGACACGCAGGCGTCCGACAGACGGCGCCGGGGCTAGGCGACCGAAGAGGAACTACGGCAAAAACCGCACACCACCCGCTGACGAGCGCTCGCGGAACTGGTCCGCGGCGCCCGCCAGGGGCGTGCGCGAGACAGGGCTCGGAGCCCTTTTCTGTGAGCAGGGATTCCCTCCCGGCGGGGGTTGTGGCGGAGAGCCGGCATGGGAATCGCCGGCCCCCACCCAGGGGGTGCCCCTGCCAGGCGCCGCAAGCGGTGCCCGACAGGGGCGGGTGCCCCCACCCCGAGGGGTGGGGGCGGGGTCGGGGTCCAAAGTGATCCGGCCCATGCATCGCCTCGGCAAGGTCCTCGGTGCGATACATTCTCCACGGTGTCGTCGAGCGAAAGCGCGGTGGCCGCGGAGGTGATGACGTCGACATCGGTGGAATCGGCTGGGTCGACGTCAACGTCGATAGCTCTTTCACGCCGGATCCCCTTGTTGTCTCCGATGTGTCGCGCCTGCGCGCTCGGCGTGTATGAAATCCATATCATCCCCTGCTCCACGATTGGGGCTTTTGGCGGCGAGGGCGGGGCGCTAGGCGGCGGTTCGTTTTCGGGGGAGTCGGGTGGGTCATCGGCGTAGCTAGAGGCCCCATCACCGATGTCGTCGAGTGGGATGGTTGTTGCTCCTCCGTTGATAGGCATGTCGTCGCCCACGGTGCTGCTCTCCCCGTCGTCTGCGTCTGTTGGGACAGACTCGTCCTGCCACTCCGGCGCGCCGCAATCCCTCGCGCCGCTCCTGCCGAGGTCGGCTTGTTTATCGACGTAGTCGTTCCACTTATGACCACTGTGCCCCTTGACGTGTCTCCATGTCACTTCGTGCCACGGTTGTAAAATTCTCTATTCTCGGTGTACCTGTGTTAGTGCCAGTGCGCGCCAGTCCCGTGCCCAGTGTTGTGCGACGGAGTTCGGTTGTAAAATTCTCTATTCTCCCTCGCTGTGCCTTTTGTGGTGCTAGTTCGTGCCAGTCTGCTGTGAGAGGGCCTTGTACAATGGGATGCGAGTTAATGCGCGGTTGGGGGGGGCTGAAAAGGGGAGCTCCCTCTCTCCCCACCCCGAGGACCTCTGCCCAAGCTGATGGTGCCCAGCCTAGGGGGTCTCAGGGGCTGTAGAGCCACACCTAGGAGAGGGGGTAGCTCACACCTTGTGGGCCGCACTGACCCTTCTCCCACGTGCCCTTGCCCGCCCCTCTGACCGCCTCCCGAGAGCCCCGACTTTGAGGGGCTGGTGAGAGCCCCCACCGTTGCGCCCTCACCTCACGCTGACATATCCTTTGGGAATGCCCATGGGCTCTAGGGACCTGGGGGCAGCTTTGCCCGCGGGTGCCATGCTGGGCTTTGGTAGCCATTCTCTCTGATTCTCCGGAGAGGCCGGAAAAGTGGCTAAGGCGGCCTCCGCTCAAGGATCGTTGGGATTTTCTGGTGACTCAGGAAGCTAAGGTCTGCGCCGAATAAAAATCGGTTCCGTGCTGCCCGCCCCCGGATACACCTGGCACAATTTATTAGAAGTTGAGCCGCGCACTTCCGGCCGAGAATAAAATCCCTCTGGTCTCTCAGCCCACTTGCCCATAGCCGCCGAGACGGCGCGCTCTGCTGACTCTCATCTAGCACCCTCTTGGGGCCTCTCCTGACCGCTGTGGGCCTCTCCAGACCTCCTCTTGCCTTTGGGAGTACCCCTCCCAGTCTACTTATCTCGCCGCCTCAGGCTCTAGAGGTGGTAGTACCGGCCTTCCTGGCAAGGCATGACATGCCCCTACTGGCATGTCAAGCAAGGGCTCGCGAGTCGAGGTTGTTCTCGCGCCACACCACCCTGCCACCGCTGCCACCGAAGGCGTCACGGTGCTCCGAGACGGCCACTTTGCCTCGTTTTTTCAAAGCTGCACCACGCCCCACGGCCTGATGCGCATAAGCTCTAGCTCATGGTGGCTAGGAATTGGGTCTGCCAGACCAGCCTGGTGCCAGAGATTAGGCCAAAATCGCGCGCTGCGGGCGAGCAGGGCGCACCAAAGGGGCCGGACACAATGGGATGCGAGTTAATGCGCGGTTGGGGGGGGCTGAAAAGGGGAGCTCCCTCTCTCCCCACCCCGAGGACCTCTGCCCAAGCTGATGGTGCCCAGCCTAGGGGGTCTCAGGGGCTGTAGAGCCACACCTAGGAGAGGGGGTAGCTCACACCTCGTGGGCCGCACTGACCCTTCTCCCACGTGCCCTTGCCCGCCCCTCTGACCGCCTCCCGAGAGCCCCGACTTTGAGGGGCTGGTGAGAGCCCCCACCGTTGCGCCCTCACCTCACGCTGACATATCCTTTGGGAATGCCCATGGGCTCTAGGGACCTGGGGGCAGCTTTGCCCGCGGGTGCCATGCTGGGCTTTGGTAGCCATTCTCTCTGATTCTCCGGAGAGGCCGGAAAAGTGGCTAAGGCGGCCTCCGCTCAAGGATCGTTGGGATTTTCTGGTGACTCAGGAAGCTAAGGTCTGCGCCGAATAAAAATCGGTTCCGTGCTGCCCGCCCCCGGATACACCTGGCACAATTTATTAGAAGTTGAGCCGCGCACTTCCGGCCGAGAATAAAATCCCTCTGGTCTCTCAGCCCACTTGCCCATAGCCGCCGAGACGGCGCGCTCTGCTGACTCTCATCTAGCACCCTCTTGGGGCCTCTCCTGACCGCTGTGGGCCTCTCCAGACCTCCTCTTGCCTTTGGGAGTACCCCTCCCAGTCTACTTCCTAGGACACAGGCACAGGTTTGCATAATGCGAGCTTTTTCTCAAGGGCTATAGTGCAGAGAAGAACTGCGCATTAACTCGCATCGCATTGCATTCGTAAAATTCTCCCTCGCCCCAACTGGCGTTGGCGAGAGACAGCGGAGCCACCCGACACACATGTATCAAAAGGCCCAGCGGGACGACGGCAGGCGCGCCCTCGAGCGGCAGGCCAGGAAGTGGGAGGCGGACAGCGAGGCTCTTTGGCAAGCGCTCTACGAGAGCCGTACGGAGAACGAGGAGCTTCGAACGGCGGTGGTCGCGCTGAGTGGTGAGGTCAAGCTGCTCGGCGAGCGCGTCGATGACAATGCGGCGGCGGCGTCGAGCCGGCAGAGCGCCCTGTCTGGCGAGGTTCAGGCCGTGGCGTGCGAGGTGGTCGCCCTGCGTTCGCGCGCGGCGGCGTGCGAGAGCGGTCTCGAGGCGGTGCGTGGTGAGCTGCAGCGAGATGGCACCGGGCGCGACCTCGCGATCGTGCGATCGGAGCAGAGCTGCCTCTCCAACGCGTCGGCGCGGCTGGAGAAGGGCGTCGCCGAGCACTCGAGGCTGCTCAGCGACGTGCGCGCAGAGCTCGCCGGTCTTGCGCAGAGGCATGCCGCGCTCAACGCCAGCGGCGCCTCGGAGCAGGCGGCGGCGCAGCAGGTGGCAAGCAGCCTGCGGTCGGCGGTGGACGAGCTCGCCCTCAAGCTCGACAGCCTCGCCGCGCGCGTCGCCGCCTTTGGCACCGGCGACGCCTTCCTGCGCGGCAACGAGAAGCTGAAGCGGGCGGCGAAGCGGCACGAGCTCATGCTGACGGCACTGAGCGAGGCGCACGAGGCGTCGCGAACGGAGCTGCGCTCGCTCATCCGGGAGCTGGCCGCGCAGCTGCTCCCCGTGCAGCAGGCGACGCAGGCCCACGGCGAGCAGCTCGACGACTGCTGCGCCGCAATCAACCTCTTTGCCGAAGCGATCCGGCCCTCGCACGGCGAGGCGGCGGCGGCGGCGGCGGCGGCGGCGGCGGCAGCTTCGGGGGGAGGGTACAGCGGGGGGGCGGCGAGAGGTGGTCGCAGCGACAGAGAGGCGCGCGGTGGATCCGCACGGCGTCGGTCCCGACCGTCGGCAAGCGGCGCCTACTCGCAGATGTTGCATGCATTTCGCAGCGAGGCCGCGGGCGGCGAGTAAATACAAAATACGACTTCGCACACACATGCACATGTACATGCACATGCAACAAAACGTCTCTGTCGTTCTCCCATCTCCGCCTCCCCCGTAAGCCGTATGTCTTCGTGAGAGAGTCACACGAGAGAGGGATCGACTTGACACTTGAAGAAGTCTCCCCGCCTGTGGCCTGTGCGCTGTGGAGTGTGGTCCGAGTCGGCGGACGGCGCGCGGGGTCCGCGGAGCGTGGTGCCAGCCTGGTGGGGCGCTCGGCTCCTGCTAGGCGCTGGCTGGTGCCTCTCTGGCCAGTATAATGAGCTGCGGGAGCTCCGCTGGTTTTTACTACACACAATGATACTAAATAAGAACACCAACATGCAGTCCACGCTCCCCCTCCCCACGTCATAGCCCGCCCGGGGGAGGGGTCGCGCCAGGGGACGGCGGTGGCTCAGGCCTCAGGCTCAGCCTTGAGCGGAGAGAAAACAAACGCGACATGGCGGGCCAAAGACCCTTCGAGCGCTCCGAGAGCTCTTCACCTGATTTTGAGGTGGTTGTCTCTCATCTTGTTTACGGCCTCGTCGGGAGGGAGCAGCTTGAGGAAGGTGGTGCCACTCTTCGGATCGCCACGCCAGACCGCGTCCAAATCCACGGGGGTTGCTACTTTAGGCTCGCCGATGGCAACAGCGAAGTTAGCGTCCGTGCCACTCGCGATATCGTTCGCGTAGATGCCGAGGTAGTGCATCTGCGGGAGCACCCAGGGGCGAGGGCTCTCCTCCTCAGTCCACTTCTTGTCGTAGGCCTTGTGGATTAGTGTCATGTTCCGCCCACCCCGGTAGAGTGAGGCGACCAGACCCTCGTCCCAGCCGTAGTCCGGGTGAAAGTCACGCAGCTTCATCGACACGTCGTGGAAGAATACCCGCATGAATCCGTTGTTGGGCCCGCCGCGCTCCGCAAAGTCCGGCGTGGTCTTTGAGCTTAGCGTCTCCGATCCCTTCTTCCAGTGCTTCCTCTTTAGAGTGGCGAAGTCGAAGACGTAGCCATGCTTAGCCATGTAGGTGTCGACATCCATGTCGAAGCTCAGTGCCTGAGCGTACTTTTCCATCCTGTCGACCGTCGTCGGGTGGTCCAGGCTTCGGTTCCACAGGATGTCTCTCATCTTGGGCTGTTGTGACATAAAGTCGTCGATGACGCCGCGCCTTTCAATCTCTTGGATAGTCTCGCAGCCGACGCTGGCTCGCGGCAGCTCGTCCGACTGCCAGACCAGCGCAGGCGAACCCGCTGAGGCGACAGGTTTCTGCGACGGATCCGGATACGTGGGCGAGGGTGAGGCCGAGGGAGACGGCGACGGCTGCACAGGCGAAGGTGACCCCGATGGAGACCCGCTGGGGCAGAGTCCGGACGCTGGGCAAAGAGCGCCGTTCGGGCAGAATTGAGGAGGGTTCAGGTTTGGCTTGCACCGGACGCCCGTAGCCGCAACAAGCACTGCTGGGGATGAAGAGCTGTCGCGGGTGATGCCCGCTGCTAGTAGTAGCAGCGCCACGGTCAAAAGCAGCGACAGACCGAGCACCCGCAGCCTCGACTCGGCTTTGGTGCTGGAAGCAATCTCCGCCTCTCCTTCTGGGGCGGGCAGCAACCTCCGGCCCAGGCTACTCATTGCGGTGACAGCGCCGTCCTCGTCGTGCGTCCTCGTGGCCGAGAGATTGTGCCAAAAAATACTATGAAGGGTCAGTGTGTGTACTTCTTGCTTGGGCGGCCCTCATGATGAAATTCTGCAAAAACCTGGCCGGCCCCTGCCCTGCCCCTACCTACCTACCTACCTACCTACCTACCCTACTTAGAGAGAGAGATTTTAGAAAACCAACAAAAGAAATCACGACTGTCACAGTGATTTGGGCTCGGCAGCTTGTCAGCCCTCAGCCGAAGCTGGGGCCGGTCCCGTAGCCGAGAGAGCCCGCGCCGATGAGTTCGACGCGGTCGGGGGGGCCTGGCGGAGAGGCCAGCGAGATGGCGATCGCTGTACTTCAAGGTGTCATCAAGTGACTGGCTGACTCGCCAGAGCGCAGAGGTCGATACTCTGGACGACCCATAGGATGCCACGAATGCCTGAAGGAGAGGGAGGCGAGGCCAGAGGCAGGCTCAGCTGCTCTCTCGGGGTGATATCACTTTCATGGTGGCTGAAGGACCCGATGCGCGATGGTCCTGTCACATTCGTGTTCCGAGTCGTAGGGGTAGAAGATTTCGAGGTAGAATCGAGTCAGCACTTCCTTGTAGTACAGCGGACCGCCAGGCTCGCCGGCAGCATCCGCAGGGAGGCAGCATATGAGGCACCAGTCTTAAGGGAGAGCTCAACAGCTGCGGCCGCGATGGTAGAGTCGGCCGCGGTTCGAGCGAGCAGCTTTTGGCTGCGGGATCGAATCGCGGAAGGCGCATGCCCTCGCGGAGCGACGCGGGTCGCGCGGCGCGCGCGTGTGCGAAATGCGACAACAGACGACAGATGACAGACGCCTGAGCGCTGTACGACTGAACGACCGTCGCCGCAATCGCCACCGCCGCCATTTTGACGAGCAGCGCGAGCGCGCTCGTCGGCGGCCAGCCGTCGCGGGCCGGGCCGAGCCCGGCCTCGACCGGCCGCGCCGCCGCAGCAGGCCGGGAGGCCCGAATGGCGGCCGACCAGCTGAAAAGGAACTTCTCCCTACTGTGTGTGTGTGTGTGTGACACTCACATTCTCCCTACTTATGCGGGTTATGGGAAACGAAAAAAGAAATCACTCGATGTGAAGGTGAGGAACTATACCAACTAAGTGATGGTTGGTGGTACTCTCCTGCACCAGATCACCCATGAGCCATGTTGACATCGTGATTTCCCCGGAAAATTTCTTTTTCTGCCGTGAAAATTCGAAGAGTGGGAAAAACCCGACGGGAGGGCCGAGACCTACCCTACCTACCCCGTCATGAGGGCCGCAGCAAGAAGAACACCTGCAAGAGCTACATAAAAAGAATTTTACAACAAAACTCCCTCGCACAACACTGGGCACGGGACTGGCGCATAAAAAGAAAAGTCTGTGCAGTGTGGCGGGAAGAGGCCCCCCCCTTCCGTGGTCCTAGCGGTTGCTGCTCCGCTGCTGCCCCGCGGGCACGTCGTCGAGGCACATATCTCTGGTGAGACCCTACCATGGAGGAGGAGCTCGAGTGGCGCACGGACCATGCGCTCGTTGGCGCTCGCGTAGCTCGCTCTCACGAAGGCCAAGACGGCGAGCTCGCCAGCAGCATCGCGGTGGTCGTCGGCTGGTTATCCGCCAAAGAGTCAGACTTTGTCGACGGCGACGGCAAGGCCGCCCCGCTGTTCCGCGTGCGCTACGAGGCAGGCGACCTCGCGGGCGACGAGGAGGACTTGGAGGAGCACGAGGTGTTGGAGTCTGAATCGGAGGAGGACGACGATGACGAGGAGGGCGAGGAGGGCGGCGACGACGACGCCGAACGGCAGCGCCTTCTCGATGCGTACATCCAGAACGTGGCGGAGGAGGACGAGATCCTCGAGGGACTCGAGGACGAGCGCGTGGAGGCCCTGCGGCGCGAGGTGAAAGCGGAGCTCTGCGGGCGCGAGGCCGACGCTCACTATTCCGCCGACGCCGACATCGAGGAGGAGATGCGTGCGTGGCACGCCGCGCAGCACGCTGCGCTCGACGCGCGTGCGCGGCGCCGCGCGAAGCTCGGCGAGCGGCTCGTTCGCGCGGGTGTCGACGTGCACGCGGTGCACAAGGTGCTCGACCGCCGCGTGCGAGCGGCCGCGACGACTAGCGCGTGGAAGGCCGCTCCTCGGTTCCGCGACGACTCCGACGACGAGTCTGACGATGGGGAAGTCGACGGCGGCGACGGCGGCGACGAGTGCCCGCGCGCTGAGGATGACGCGGAGCTCAAAGCTCTCAAGGCGCGCCGCGCGACAGCGGATGAGAAGGTCGCGGCGCGGAAGGCGAAGCGCTCCGCGGAGAAGGCGCTCGAGGAGTCCAACCCGACGTCGATCGTGCGCGGCCAGCGCACTTGCGCAAACGCGGGCGCCAACGGTTTCGCGCCCGCGCACGGCGGGCGCGCATACGCGGCGACGACGCCTGCGGAGGCCGCCGCGCTCGCCGAGCAGCTCGGGGTAGACGGCGCACACGAGATCGACGAGATCGCCGACGTGGCCGCGGAGATGGACGCGGGCGACGCGAACGCGGCAGCGCTTGCAGCCGCACTTGCGGCGGAGGAGGCTCGCGGTCTCACCGACGCGCAAGCCGCGCGCGTGCGCGCGGTCCTCGCAGAGGACGACGACGCGCCGTGCCGCGCCGCACGCAAGCGCGCGCGCCGCCGCGAGGTCGCCGGGGATGGTGCGGCTGCGCCGCGGGACAGTTGCGACCGCACGCACGACGACGACGACGATGACGACGACGACGACGACGATGAGCGTGTGCGTCCAACACCGCGCGTGCGGGCGCGGCCGTCGGCGGAGGCCGTCGCGGCCGCGCGCGCAGCCGCAGCCGCGCCGCTTGCGAGCGCGGGCGCTGTCGGCGCCGACGCGGCCTCCACGGCGGGCGGCACGGCGGGCGGCACTGTGTCCAACGTGATCGACGTGCAGTCGGAGAAGCCCCGAGCGTCGCCGGGCGAGGGCGCATCTGCAAAGAAGAAGGAGGGCGGAGCCAAGCCGGCAGGCGCTTCGGGCATCACCTCATACTTCAAGCGTGCCCCCCCGAGCGGGGCCAAGGCGCCGACGCCGAGGACGACTGTCAAGGGCGGCGCAGCCGACGACGCGGACGACGCGGGCGATGGCAACGCGGGGGACGCGGACGCGCGCGGCGCCGCGCGGCGCAAGATACGGCGCGTGCTGACGGACGCCGAACTCGGTGCGTCGGCGCTCTCCGCACAGCAGCTCGAGAAGCAGCGCCGCCGGCGCCTTGAGGCCGACGCCGAGGCCGCCTCGAAGGCCCGGGCCGAGGGCGACGGCGACGGCGGCGAGACGCTGCTCAACCCGCACGGCGCGGCCGCGGGCGACGCACCGTTGCGCATCGCAGCGCCGCTCGCTACCGCCCTCAAGCCGCATCAGCTCGAGGGGTGTCGTTTCCTCTTTGACAACATCGTCACGAGCCTCGGCGCGCTCGCGGCAGGCGACGGCGGGCTGGGCGCGGTGCTCGCGCATTCGATGGGGCTCGGCAAGTCGCTGCAGGTCGTCGCGCTGCTCCACACGCTCCTGCACGCGCCCGGTGGCGGAAGCTCCGCAGGCGGCGGTGGAGGCGCGGCCGGGCAGGTGCGCACGGCCGCGTCGGCGGGCGGTGCGTCAGCGCGCGCGGATGGGCGTTGGCGCGCGTTGCTCGTCGTGCCGGTGACGGTGCTCCCGAATTGGGAGACGGAGCTACGCAAATGGACGCCCGCGTGGGGCGATCGGCTGCGCGTCGCTTCGCTCGACGGGAAGCACGCGGCCTCGGCGAAGGACCGCGCGCAGCTCGTGCGTGCGTGGGCGCGCGGCGCGCACGACGTGCTGCTCGTGGGGTACGAGCAGCTTCGCGCGGCGGTCAAGTGGGCGGGCGGTGGCGGCGACGTCGCGGCCGCGGCCGCGGCTGCGGCCGGCGCGGCCGGCGGCCAGGCGGCGGGCTGCTGTGCGAAGGCGCAGCTATTGCGCGACCTGCTCAACCCCGGGCCCGACCTTGTCGTGTGCGACGAGGCGCACGTGCTCAAGAACGCGAACGCGGGCGCGACGAAGGTGCTCAAAGCGATGGCGACGCGGCGGCGGATCGCGCTTACCGGCACGCCGATGCAGAACTCGCTCCTCGAGTACTACGCGATGGTCGACTTCGTGCGCC